ACCCGTCCTTAGAACCTCCTGCGGCTCTGTTGCAGCTGGTTCGCCTCTTACGTCGGACCCTCCGTCATTGGTTTGGTCAGCCTATCTCAGCGGCGCTTCTTGCCTAATTCGTTCTTTCAGTTCTCTCAGAGCTCGAACGGGCGATGTCCTATACTCCTCTCCCGCTTCGCCCATGGTCGGTTGTGGCCCCATCGTGTCGGGTTCCATTGGACCTCCTGAAGACACAGTTAGGTTTTCTTGCCAACTGTTACAGCCCGCCCCTATGACAGTCGTTGCATCCCGGACCTGTGACAGATGCGGCAGCTCGGACCTGTTTTCTTGTCACGGCTCACGTCCGCCTCCAATCTTGGCCCTCGACTGCCTCGATTACCACCTCCAGAATCCTGTTCCGGACGCAGATCTCGTGTTCTCTCTCTATCCCAAGAATCCCTGTGTCTAAGTAACCTCTCCTTCGGGATCGGTCAACAAGGCCGTGCCTGTCCGGATCCACAGTACGCCCGTGACAGGACCTCTAACCTTGAGACAGATGACAATCCCAAACCTAGCCAATGTTTCCTGATCAACACTTCTCAAGAGTCCCTAAGCGTCTCTCTCCGTCCTCCTTGCTAGTTCTCCTATCCCAGTCTGAATCGGTTAACCCGCTAAAGGTCCTCCTACTGTCGCCCAATATTGCCTATCGACCTTTTTAGCTTCCTCTATCCTTCCAAGAGCTTCCAATTTCTATTTCCAACTACCTTATCTCCTCAACGGTTACGAGGTCATCTGTCTAACAGCTGAGGTAAGTTAGTGTTATAACGACTTGTAACCTCATCGCCGACCGCTCCGATACGTCATAAAATGTCTCAAAGTCCTCATTAAAAGGTTCATCGTTTCCTTCCAGTACCGGTTGTGAGCGGCTAACACCCTGAGTATTGCACCATCTGTTACTACTCTCCCTAACTCTCCAGCTTTCCTGGCTTCGCTTATCTTCAACCTCTCAGCCTCTCTGGTCGTCTCATACCATGCCCTTATCCGTGACCGGCCTTCGAAGGGTGTTACTCGGAGTACGTACTTTATCCTCCGTCCTCGTTCTATTCCAATCCAAAGTCCCGTCCCCCTTGCCTCACGCAGGGCACGGCGGAAACACTCTGTCTCCTCAACTATGCACAGTCTGGTATGGAGCTGGAGTTCTATGATCACTAACACTAATGGCCCATTCAGTCTCCCTACCACAAGTAATGAGTACCAATCCGTCGTGTGCAGTGCAGTCCCGCTCATGTCCCGTCGCTACTCCCCTGCGTAACTTTATCTTCCGTTGTCTCGCTTTCTGCAGATCGCTTACTAGTTCGTCCTCGTGATACGCTTCTAGCCTTTATGCTCTCCAGAAAGTCTGATATCCACGCCTGGATAATCTCTCTTTCTTCCCTAAACAGATTGTCTAACTCTCTTGTCACGAGTTCAGCCCTTCGCAACTTACCCTCGTCTTGACA